CAGGTGGCTTTTCACTTTTCCATGGAATAGTACAAAATATTGTAATCACACTGCATTGCTGAGGAAACAATTTTTCTGCAAGCTAGCCGATGTCGCTTTAAAAAACTTACAAACTCGCTGTCCACACAATGCATTCAGATTTCAGAGGTCCCCATGTGCACACAAATCACATTTCTATACACTGATTTGTACTGTTAATTGTTACATTAACATAAATGTAATTCTACTACATATCTGAATTTCATTTAAATAAATTGTTTTTTCTAGAACGTGCTTCTGCACACTTGGTGCATCCTGTTGATGGTAAGTAAAACGTAAAAATAAAAAAGTGTTTCTTTATTGAATGTATGTTTATACAGTGGTAAAACATTATAATTTTTTTGTGTGTTCAGCCGAAGTTTCAAGATTGTTTGCCCCATATCCACGAACGAACACTGCTGTTGGACCCCGTCGAACAAATAACCCCACATGGCAATCAAGCTACACCCATACGTTTTTGTGTCTCATGAGTAAAAACTCCTCGACAGTCCCACAAAGACTTGAAAAAGAACATTTGCAAACCCGAGGATTAGGGGAGAAGCGTCTGACCTTTCGAGGTACAAATTCTTTCATTTACTACTTAAAGCTATTGTTATGCTGCTTTACATACATTTATTTGTGACATAGGCAACCAAGATAGCCCTGGTGATCTGTCAGAGCTTTTGTTTGGAGCTTTCCCAAAACTGAGAGATGCAGGAGGCTTTGAATTTATGAGAATCAGCGGAACCACCCGTAGCCGCCAGCTGATGCTCATTCCATGCCCAAATGAAGGATACACTGTTCGATACTTGAGGGATCCAGTGACCTCCATACATCACTCCACAATCTACATCAGACCTCTACAGAAAAATCTAACTGCGGATATACCCGTATGTCTTTATAGATGGTGTTCATGTGACATCACAACATTCTAAACAGCCAATATTGAGGTGGAAGGCAGCTGTAAATTCCTTGCTGGTAACTATATGATAATAGCCAAAATGCAGATTTATAGTCTTAGTTTATTTGCTACTTTCTCTAATTCCTGGGGTAATTCACATGAAAAAAAAATCACAAGTTCAAAGTCGTCTCTTCCTGCTCATATGAACTGTGGTCTATTATTTCCTCATGAAAAACGTCTGAAAGTGGAGACAAAAGCATGAGTGCGATGTAGATCAGTAGAAAGGACTTTATAAGTATTATGAGCCAGGTTTGTGAATCTAATCACTATAAAATAATGATCAGGGAAAATAATTTATTTTTTGATTGTTTTTAAACACTAGTTCTCTCCAGTAGAGTTGTATTTGCACCTGCCCTCCAAATAAAAACACAAATAATACTCAAAGTAACAAGAAACGGTTATGAACCTTTTTTGTGCTCATTCTTAGGAAAACCATGCCACAATTGGAAGAGGGCCTGTCTTGCCTTGCATTCGCTGTGGTGAAGGTTTCGTTTTCAATGAATTAAAAAATCACAGCGAGAGCTGTTCTGGGTACTATTTTTTGAAGTACAAATGTCATTTTTTCCCCTTTGGTATATATCAAATATTTATCTCACTGTTATTCTATATCTAGACATGGACCTGAAACACATTCCTCGCAAGAGTATATTGGTTTGTACTTACATTGTACTACAAAGCACATAATTGTCATTCATCCAGATATTTCTCTAAGGTCTTAATAGTTGTTTCTTTCACAACAAAACTTTAATGTTGCAACTGCAGACACAGCCAGTACATCAGCGACAACCACGGTTACAGACCCATCGTCAGCAAGAACCACTACATCAGCAGCAGCTACTACATTGGCCACAGTGGCTACACCGTCTACATTTCCGAGAGCAATGAATAGTAAGTCAATGACGGCGTGCAATATCTTTCACTTGTGATGGGCAGGGGAAGACTCATAAAGCATTTACGCATTCTTTGCCAGATTGTTTCATATGTGTCGAGGCTTCAAAGCTAGCTTAGTCTAGCTTGTAACACTGACATGTAGTGGACAAATTTGATAATTTCTGCTGAGAAAAACTCAAGCAGTAGTTATCTTTCATCGGTGAAACTAACAAACAGTTGTGGTTGTGTGTGAATTATTATTTTTTCTCTCTTTTTAGGACCCCCAAAGCCTCATGTGTTGGAAGTTGGTGAATTTGATGGTAAGTTGGTCTTCCAAATATGATATAACAAAACCTTTTTCCATATGTGACTAAGTTCTTCTGTTGATATTTCCTTATTTTTTGTACCACTATAAGCCTGGGTTACCGAAGCAGATCCTAAAGAAGCAATCAAACTATTCTGCGAGTCCATTCGTAGCGCTCATGAAAATGACAACACCCTCAACATAACCTTGAATCTACATGAGTCATTGGACGAAAGAAGCAGGACCATAGTTTGTCTCTACAAAAGGCCAAATGTTGAGTGGGCTAGCCCGCTGAAATGCAAATTAATTGGTATGTCATAAACTGCATCACCATCAGAGTTGCCAGGTTTTGGTTCCTCGCTTGACCTTTCTAAACGTTGTCTTATCTTTCCATCATAAGGAGACAAGGCTGTTGGTGAAGGAGTTGCCAGATTTGTGTTGGGCACAATAATGGACTGTGTTCAAAATGGACTTCAGCTCCATGAAACAGGTGGGTTCTTTCAGTTGAATTGTAATTCCCATGACCACATTTCTCAACAGGACAGTAACTTAACTGGTCCAAAGTAAAACGCTTTTAATTTTTTAATGTAGATATCTTAAGACAATTGACTTTATTTACATTAAAAATGAGAATAATCTGAGGTGGTGCAGATGATAGAGTGGGTCGTCTCATGATCGGAAGGTCGGGGGTTTGAATCTCAGCTCCTGAAGGTACACACTGTCGTGTCCTTGGGCAAGACACTTCACCCTCCTTGTCACCAGTGTCTGCATATTTTGGGTTATGATTGGGTGATTGGGTTCTTTAGTGTAAAGCGCTTTGGGCCTGATGTAATAGTGTAAGTACATTCAACAGCAGATTTTACAATATTTGTTTAAAATATATATATTTTAGGTCAGAGGGCTACATGTGAAGCTGTGTAATGTTTATGGTTGGCTCAACACTATAACCTCTTGTACTCTACAACCACTGTTCATACATGTGTTTCTGAAGGATCGAAGACGCTTTTGTTCGAGGGAGAACAAGATCATCTGGTCCCAGCCAGCTCACTAACACCTGACAGAGAGTGATTTCTTCGTCGTAGCTGGAAGAATGGTGGGGCACTGCTTCATCCATGAAGGTCCAAGATTCTATGGCTTAAGCACCGCCATCATAGACATCCTTTTCGGTGCCGATCCGGAAACAACTATAGTCACCATAGAGGACTGTGTGGATATTGACGTCCGGGAGGTTATCACTTTGGTGCGTGCAAATAATTCAATCCTTTGATTGATTACTTTGAACCCTCACTTTTATCCTCTCTGTCAGCATCTGACATTTTCCCGCAATCATTCGACAATGTACTATATTAAAAAATGTGAAAGGTTTAGTGTAATCCATGAGTATGTGTTTGTAGCTCGAACAAGAGGAGTTAAATGATGAACAAAAAGCAAAGGTGTGTGCCGTTGCCTCGCCCTGGGATCTACCAAGAGTTACAGCAAGGAACCAGCTTTGGCTAAAAGAAAAAATCCTGTATCATGCTGTGAGTTACTATAAATAGGAATTAATTTAAAGAAAGCAATATGAACATAATTTATATTAATGTCATTCTAGGTCATTGTACGAACCAACAAACAAGTTAACCAGTTCAGAAGAGGCCTCAAAGACACCGGCATTTGGGAATTTTTCAAATCGAGGCCAGATGCAGTGGCGATGTTGTTCCCACGAACATGTGAGAGTATTGTTACATCACAGGTAATCTTTAGACCGTCAATAACAGTCTAATCTTATTTTTCTTTACATTTCCTATCAATATGGCTAATGGTTTTAAGAATTTGTAATTTCAAATAAAATGTTTTTTATAGATGCTACTCCCGAAAATTAAATGGCTAAAGGATGAAGATGTGGATGAAGACATGTGCACCCTGGAACAGCAGCAGACTGCAATGTCATTCTTGCGTCAATTTATTGAGAACAGTAAGATCACATATTAAAATCTTTATTGTTTTTGAGCCTATAATTTTACCAAGGCTTGGGCGATATGGCAAAATCAATATTTGCATTTCTTTGGTCACATTAAAACTGCATAAACATGACAATTTAATCCACATTAATCCTTCATTATATGTCTCCAAACTCAAAACCACATGACAAAATTTGTGATTTTTATTATTTGTTACATTTTTGCCCAGCCATTATTTTACCAATATTTTTAATTCATAGATTCGCCAGACATCTTAAAAAAGCTGCTGATCTTCTGGACTGGATGGGATGTGGTTCCTGAGGAGCTCGGAGTGGAAGTATTTGACAAGGACCTTCCACACTCATCCACATGTTTGTTCATGCTGAAACTGCCAAAAGGCATTACCAACTTTGACACGTTCCAAAGCCATCTCATGGCAAGCATTTCATCGTCCTATGCGGGGTTTGGTCATTTTTAAGGAGCATGTGTATGTGCTTTAGTGAACAGGCATGTTTTGTTATTGCATGTTGAGCCTGTAAATTTACATATCTGATGGACTCCATGTTGAGTCCTAGAGTGACCTTTTATTTTTTTTTCTATCATACTTTGTGTATTTCCTAGAATAATGTTGCCAAGGCTTGTTGACTTAGGTTGATACACCTTTATTTTATTTGAACACTTTGCATTGTTGAAATTAAAAATAAAGTATCTTCACAAAAACTGTTCCTCTACCATAGAATTGTATGGGTCCCTGCCCTCCAGCTGAAATTATGACATCACATTGTAGAAAAAGAAAATTAATTGTCCAACAGTTCTCGTAATAAAGCTACAGTGTCTCTATAGACATTTAAGCAACCAGAAAAGGAGCACCCATTTGGATCTGGTAATTGTTGGAGTTCATCAGCAGTCAGGTCCCTTTGAAGCTGAATGTCAGGTATTTGAATTCCTTCGGGGTGGTAGCCATAGGGACCTTCCCAGTCAATGCCATATTCACTGTCAGTCTACATTTAAGATGTAAAAACACGTTATTTAAACAATATTTTATTTGTAAATTTTTATGAAAGTGTAGCCTAAACAACTAACCTGCAGTGGGTCATGGCCTTCTCGAGGGTTAAGAAGCCATAACTGATTCGGTGATTGATTGGATTCAGTTCTTAGTCGGTGATGGTTCCATCCATCTTGGAAAAACCGCAGGTGTCTTGAAATGTGCGGTAGAAAGGTCCAGTGCAGTGCAAAGATGAGAAGTTCATCATCTGGGTTGAGCATACCTTCAGCCTCAAGATTGGAGAAACAAGTATAAAAGAGGTCGAGAACACCTCCAAACACATCTCTCCACAACCTCTCAATTCTGAAAAAAAATAGAATACTTTGTATTAAAAGTTTGAAAGTTTCATAGTTATACATTTATCAACATGCAACAAACAAAATGACGGCGATCATAATATATAACTTTACCTTTAAAATGTGTGTGTGTTTAAAATGAAAAGGGTGAGACCCTTGTCAGTGTAAGATTGTTTTGCAAGTAACTACCTTAAATCTATAAACTTAAAACAAACTTTTTGCTTGCATGAAAAAAAGAAACATTTGATATTTTAAAGAGAAGTACGTAATTATATTTTTTCATGGACTAGGCCTACATTTGAGCAAATGTCATCACATCTGTGAGATACTGTATGTATACATTAATTAGGTAACCAGTAATGGAATGTGAGACAAATATTTTATTATTTTTTGATCCATGTTGGCCTTTTTTTGCATATTGTCAGTTATACTTAGCGTGCCAATACCACTTTCAGACATTGTATAATCAAGGTGGAATACCTTTGATTATGAGTACTTCTCCCTGTAATGAAGGAGTTTCGATTTATTCCTCTCTGGGTGACCATGTAGCGTGCCACTTCAATGTTTTCCATTCCCTTGTCTGCCCTCACACGGGATGGTACGCCAAAGGAAGTAACAGCTTCCAAGAAGGACCTCATAACAGTTGAAGCCCGGTTGTTAGTTGCTGCTGTGAGGTAGACAATGAGACGGCTGAAACCATCAATACCTCCGTGAACCACAATGCGCCACCTGGAGGGAAAACAGTTTTTTCCTCAAGTAATACTCAGTCATGGTGAGAATATTTGCAGTTGTATTTAGTACAGAATACTTGCCTTAAAGAGACTGTACAGAGTTTAAAAATTTTAAAGCTAAGTATGTTCCAGCCACGTCCTAATGTGTAGAATGAGCTCAGACCTGTTCACCACAACTGCCTCTAAAATCCTGCACTGTCACTCAGAAAGGTGTTAATTCGGTCCGAAGTGCTGTCATGCACAAGCTTAATATAGAAGCTGCTGTTACACGTATGACCTGAGATGGCAGTAGTAAACATAAAATCACAAACTTGCATCTAGCCCCTTTAAAATGTTGTAACATATTCCGTTACTTTTTCGAATTAGAGTACTGTATTGTTGTATTGTTTTGCTACACTTCACCGCCTGTTATAAACCGATTTGCTAAAATAGCCCAGATTGATGTAGAGCTAAACCTTTTCCTGGCTGTTTTGACCTTCTTATGAATATTAAACTGAAATGAACGATTAAGTACTTCAGCGTACTCCTTTGATATTTGGAAAGAACCAGTAACTATTCTAAATACCTTCAAATGAATGAGTAACTTCTCCAGAATACAGTTACTCAAAATGAGTATTCTAAATACAGTATAAATAAAGTATTCAGTTACTACCTAAGACTGGTAATACTAATTCTCTGGTCAACACATTCTACTGTTTAGTGAACAATGTCATTGCACTGTTTATTAGTGAGATGTATGAAGAAAGCAGCTAAGTGTTTCATGTGTTACACACAGCTAATTTAAAAAAGGGCAAACTCCACTTCTGTGCAACACAGTTAAAACCAATGGCCGCTGGCTGCCCTGCTTTTTGACTACGAACATTGTTCCGCCATTGCTGTAGTACCTCATTATCGCCGCTAGGCCCCCATTGAAAAGCATTGGACTTTAGACATGTTAAAACCACTTTAAAGCCTGGTTTCAATTGTTTCAACACTAGACTAGGCTAGATATTCCTCCTGAGATAACGCAGGGTTAATCACAATATATGAAACCAGGCTGGTTTTCGTAATACGAATTTTTGAAATCTCGTTTTTAATGAGTCTCGGACTGTTAGCATTGGAGCAGCGCGAGCTACACGTCACGCAAGGGCGGAGTCTACAGTGAAGATCCCGCCCGTATGTCCTTTTTAGATAGGCTTCGTCAGAGCTGGGGAGGGGGAGTCTTTAAATCCGCCATGAATTCCCCCACAGCCATGGTCATTACGGTAAACGGGGAGGAGTAAGCGTAAGACGTGAATTTTTTTTTACAGTCTATGGTTAAAACCAAGCCCCGGCGATCCAAGATGACGCCCTATTTAATTCGCGTGTGTGGGTCTCACACGGGGTCTCACGCACGTGCACAGAGGGGCTCAGCCGCGCTCTGACCAATCAGAGCTGTTCATCAGAGCGGGAGTTAGAGCGAGAGCCAGACAGGCAGAGTTTGTGGCACTAAAGTGTGGATTTAAAGAAAACCGAAGGATTTAAGAAAAAAAACAATTACAGGATGACAAGGGACACTAAAATCCCCACAAAAGCCGACCTTTATGAAAGCTGTAGGTTCTCTGTCAGGTTCTCTGTCAGGTGAGGTCGCGCTGTTTTAGTTTGCATTGAGTTCTATGGGGAAAATGTTTGGGTGGCCCACGTGAATTTAGTCTGCAGTGCTGCGAGAATCCCCCGTTCTTCAGCTTTAGGTAAGCCATACCCTATCCAGTTATTATTATAGATCCATGGTTAAAACCTACCAAATTCTGTTACCACCGGAGCTAGCTAGCTCCATCCATCCATCCATCCATCCATCCATCCAACCATCCATCTTATCTATTTAATTGAGCATGGAAAGTTGCCTTTTGAATAACTGTGTTAAAATTACAAACCTTATAAGTTTGTGATTACCATCTATGTGCCACAAACTGTTGGGAGCAGGCACAGAGTATTTTCGGCGCCTTACAGTTCGCAGTTGCAGACTCCGCACCTGGATTCCCTGTGGGTCAACTCGATGCATAGAGTCTCGGATCCGACATCCTACAGAAAATAGAACAACAATAATTATGTGGGTTACACGCTTGAGAAGTGTAGTTGTAAAGAATGTCGTTTATTAATATATAATAAGTGAAGTGAACACATGCGAGGTATGATTGCAAGCCTTTCAAGCAACCAAATAGAAGAGGTAGTGCAATTCGTTCTGTTGGTGTGTGTAAGGCAAGGCAAGGCAAGTTTATTTGTATAGCACAATTCATACACAAGGCAATTCAAAGTGCTGAACAAAAAAAAAGGAAAGCATTAAAATCATAAATAATCACAGTACATCGTGAGAGCAGCAGAGAAGATCTGTGGAGCCCCTCTCCCCACCATTAAGGGCATGTACTCCACCCGTCAGAACCACCAGGACCCTACGCACCCATCACACAGGCTCTTCAGGGGCCATCAGGAAGCTGAACTCCCTGCCCTCCCTCCCACCCCTCTTCCCCCACCCCCCGCTCCACAATCAAGGATGAGAGAAATATCATTTCAAACCATTCACTTGGTTTGACAAATAAAAATCTTGAATCTTGAATCTTGAGTACATTAAAAAGAAAGATTAAAATATAAAATCCCTCAGTTGTATGCACAGCTAAACAGAACTGTTTTTAACCTGGTTTGAAACATTGTCAGAGAGGAGGCCTGTCTCACATCTTACAGATTATGGCTTGAGAACTGGCCAACTGAAATCTAAATGTCACAAATGGGTACGCAAAAACAGTTAACAGTTATGTGAGCACAGGACAGGTCAGTCAAGGGTGTGGTAGCCTACAGGTGAGAAACAGAAATTGTTTAAGGATGATACCTAGCGTACAAACATTGTTGCAACACACTAACCACAGTGATTGTTGCTTTCTCCACAAACAGCGAAATGGTCCCGCTAACAAAGAATAAGCTCCATGAAATCATAACCAGCATCTCTAAGATGAACTGAACAGGATTTCACTAACTTTGTAAATGTATCCCTCGTGCTCTCAGATGCCCTGTCATCATCTTGTACCCAGTATTAGGATGGTATTGAAGGATATCTCGAACTGTGGCATCTAGATGGTCATTGCTTATGGATTGGTCCCAGTGTGACCTCCTTCAAAATAAAAATACATAATGGCATTTAGAGGCTTTAGTGTGGTCATTTTACACAGCACTGCTGCTTGCACTCGAGTTTCAACCGTTATGACTATGCTTTTGTTGCGTATTGGTGCGCGTCCTCCTAATGTAGATTTTCTGATCGCCTCTACCTGACGTACCATAAGCATTAGTCAACAATCAAAGACAACTTTTGTCCAAAGTTACTCAAAAGAGGACTGATAGAGAGGATATGTACATTACTTTTAATCAAATCTAAAAATCTAAGAACATTTCATATTCAGATGAAATCTGAATTTGAAAATGTTAAATTATTTTGTACTGTAGAATTCATTTTCATTAATTGCTTAACCACTCTGATCAAGTCAAACTTTAACTAAAGCGCTTTTCATGCAAAACAAATTAGGTAAAAAAATCCCTTGGGCTAATTTTTCCTACCCACCGACATTTCAGACCTGCCTCTAAGTACACCTTCTAATGACTGGGCTAAGGATTAAAAAGTAATATTATTAACTGATACTCGAATGCAAGGAAAAGTACTGAATAATCCGGTTTTCTCAAACAAATGCTGAAACACTTACTGTAAGCCATGCTCTGCAATACGACGAAAGACAGTTCTTTCACTCACGTTGAGCAAGTCCGCAATGTCCCGAACCGAAATACCTGCAGAAATATATGACTCCAACACTTCCAGGGGTACTTCTATTGCAGATTCAGATTCAGATTCATTTATTTGCCATTTGCAGTAAAACCACATTGGAAAAACTGTGCAAGACTACCCCGGTGTGCGCCAGACAGAGACGACACACACCAGAGCTCTTGCCACGGCGCCATTTTTCCGGCGCCATGCGACAAACAGTAGAATAAAGCAGGCAGGGCGCCCGGTTACTCCATCGGGAGCACTTTGCAACGAAAGTTCTTGCTGCGCCTCATCCAACAGATTTAAAGCCAACGGTACAACATCAGGGTCCATCCTCATACCCACCGTTTCGTGAAGTTCAATTACACCATTACGTAGCTGATCCAAACGAAAAATGATATAGTCAACACTACAGTCTCTCGTATGCCTGTCCGCCAGTCTTCTCAGCTCATCGGAAATTTCCCTCCAAAGCGAATCCATTACTATCACGCGTCTTGTTTAGCTAGCCACCAGTTGTTACTGTGGCAGCATAGCACAGCAGTCCCCAACTAGATTATGCTTGAGGTCCAACCTTATAATAGATCCATGGGTCCAACATGCAACCGTTTACCACTCCAAAATGGAGGCTGTTCAGCGACACAGATGCAAAGGATAATTTACTTATTTGCATAAAAAAAAACCACACACACACACAATGCAATTGTTGCATATGGAAGAATGCTTGAGATTTATATTCTTATTTTTTCGTTCTGACATGGCTATAGCGAGAACACAGTGATCGCCTATGCTGGACAAGCTCTGGAGCAAGGAAAAAGATTAACCAATGAGCTTACAGTAGAGGCATCCCGGCCCGCCCCATGACTTGCATATCATTAAGAGAAATACGGAAATAAATACAGAAATAAATACAGAATAAATAAATAAATAAATACAGAAATAAATAAATAAATACAGAAATAAATAAATAAATAGAGAAAAAAATGAATAAATAGAGAAATGAATAAATAAATGAAGAAATAAATAAATAAATGCAAAAATAAATAAATAAATGCAAAAATAAATAAATAAATGCAAAAATATAAAATAAAAATAAAAAATGAAAAAAATAAATAAATAGAGAATAAATAATAAATAGAGAATTAAATAAATAAATAAATAGATAAATAAATACAAAAATAAATACAGAAATAGAGAAATAAATGTATAAATGCAGAAATAAATGTATGAATGAATACAATAAATAAATAATTATATATATAAATAAATAAATAAATAAATAAATATATAAATACATATATATATAAATAAATACAGAAATAAATTGACTTATTCTCATAATTGCATGCATTTTTCTTTGCAAATTTTATCTTTTTTACATTTATTTATTTATTTATTTATTTCTGTATATATTAAACATGTGTTATTTATGAGACTAAAGTTACAGACCTCAGCTTTGAACATGTTATTTATGAGACTAAAGTTACAGACCTCAGCTTTAAACATGTTATTTATGAGATTAAAGTTACAGACCCGAGCTTTTAAACATGTTATTTATGAGATTAAAGTTACAGACCCGAGCTTTAAACATGTCAACTAACCCAAACACCCTTGTTAACATGTAAAATGGATTAGTCCAACCAATGGCATTGGTCCGTTTGGGCCACGTGACTCGCGTTTCTACCCCCCTGAAAAGTGGACTCGCTTGGACTTGCCTGCCGCTTCGGCAACAGAGCAGAGTGTGTGATAAGCGCGGCGGTTTTTTCAACTTTATTCACTGATCCGCGGGTCAAAACAACCGTGACATGATTCAAATATACCATCATTCTAAAGCTTATAATCTTAGATGTATGTGTGTGGTGTTGGTTTTCAAAAATCCCGGTTACTTACCGTGTATTTTGCTATTAAGTTCGTCGGATTATATCTCCGTAACCGCAACAGCTGGAGAGATGCCGCTTTCACCGTAATGCGCAGTAATAAGTGATCTGTTTACCCGGTAAATATCACCTCGCGGCGACGTCATTAACCCGCGCGGAATGCCGAGGATATCCCGACTCATTTTTTTTCAGAGTCCAGACTATCTGTGGCCCACTCTGCCTCATATTTGTCAACTTTATTAATTCATATCTCAGGAAATAAACGGAATATCAGAACAATGCACACATTTATGGATTCTATGAATAAAAATATGTTTATTGATAGTGGTGGTAGCTATATATTCTGATTATTTAGCTGCTCAGAATCAAATGAACTAAAGTGATTGCTAATTGTAGATTTGGCTTTATGTTTTGGATCATTGTCCTGTTGGAAGATAAATCTCCGTCCCAGTCTCAGGTCTTTTGCAGACTCCAACAGGTTTTCTTCCAGAATGGTCCTGTATTTGGCTCCATCCATCTTCCCATCAATTTTAGCCATCTTCCCTGTCCCTGCTGAAGAAAAGCAGGCCCAAACCATGATGCTGCCACCACCATGTTTGACAGTGGGGATGGTGTGTTCAGGGTGATGAGCTGTGTTGCTTTTACGCCAAACATCGTTTTGCATTGTGGCCAAAAAGTTCGATTTTGGTTTCATCTGACCAGAGCACCTTCTTCCACATGTTTGGTGTGTCTCCCAGGTGGCTTGTGGCAAACTTGAAACGAGACTTTTTATGGATATCTTTGAGAAATGGCTTTCTTCTTTCCACTCTTCCATAAAGGCCAGATTTGTGCAGTGCATGACTGATTGTTGTCCTATGGACAGACTCTCCCACCTCAGCTGTAGTTATCTGCAGTTCATCCAGAGTGATCATGGGGCTCTTGGCTGCATCTCTGATCAGTCTTCTCCTTGTTTGAGATGAAAGTTTGGAGGGACGGCCGGGTCTTGGTAGATTTGCAGTGGTCTGATACTCCTTCCATTTCAATATAATTGCTTGCACAGTGCTCCTTGAGATGTTTAAAGCTTGGGAAATCTTTTTGTATCCAAATCCGGCTTTAAACTTCTCCACAACAGTATCTCGGACCTGCCTGGTGTGTTCCTTTGTCTTCATGGTTCTCTCTGCGCTTTAAACAGAACCCTGAGACTATCAAAGAGCAGGTGCATTTATACGGACTTTTGTACATTTGTACTTGATTACACACAGGTGCATTCTATTTATCATCATCAATCATTTAGGACAACATTGGATCCTTCAAAGATCCTCACTGAACTTCTGGAGTGAGTTTGCTGCACTGAAAGTAAAGGGGCCGAATAATATTGCACGCCCCCCTTTTCAGTTTTTTATTTGTAAAAAAAGTTTAAATTATCCAATAAATTTTGTTCCACTTCACGATTGTGTCCCACTTGTTGATTCATGACAAATTAAAATTGTATATCTTTATGTTTGAAGCCTGAAATGTGGCGAAAGTGTCTTGCGAAATGAAATACTTTCGCAAGGCACTGTACATAACATATTTCTCATTCACAATAGAACCACAATGGGCCCTTTTGAAACCAAGACTGGCCTTTTCACAAGCTGCTTTTGTAATCTTGGCCGTGACGTTGCCTTTGTTGACATGAAAGTTACTCTCCTATAGATGACAGGCGAGCGGGTGACTCGGGGACAACCTGACGTTCCACTGTCCCTGCAAGCTTCTTTTAAGACCATACACCTGATAAACCGGTTTAAACTCATACATTCTGCTGCAGAGGAATGTTTTTTGCCACAAAAACAAATGCAATCTTGAACCTTTACTTTACCCTTTTTTGTTTTTAACTTGAAATAATGTCTTTGCAGCATCTGTCTGTCATCTACAGGTGGTCACAATTACTGTTGGTCAGGAGTTTAGCTGCTCGTTTTTTAACTGGAGCCAAAAAACATGACCATATTACACCCATTTTAGCATCTTTGCACTGGTTTTAGAAAAGAATTCAGGATTGTTTTTTTTAGGATTTTGTTTTTAAAGCCTTGAATGAACTTGCGCCACAATATGTCTTGGACCTCATGCAAATCTGCGTTTTTGTTTCACAGGTGCTACTGATATTGTTGCTTTCACCGTGCCCTCACAAGTTTGAAGAGGGGATCATGTAGGACCACAGTTATCTAATGCCGCTGTTCCACAGTAACGGTACGCTTAGTTTCGACTCTACACGGCGCGGAACGGCCCAGTTTGCGTGCTTTTCCATCAAAATTGGTACCCCCTAGTATGTCCTCAGCGTTGTCAGACCACGTCATTTACGCGTGACGCGTAAGTAGTATTGGTGCGTTGCTTGGATTTATTATAATATCAGACGAACAAGATAATTCAGCACAGCACGAGTGGTTGGTGAAAATGCCTATGTCTTAAAAGAATGACTCGGACACTGAGTCGGACAAGCAACAGCAGCCTGTGCTTGTCCGAGGATACGGCCTGGGTATAGATAATGCTAGCGCTAGCTCGAGACTCAGCTCACTCACTAACCCTGGATTGCAAAGCTACAACTGTACTACACTTAACACATCTATCACTATCCTCAGAGAAGGATCCAGGGTTTTAACTTGCCATATGGCAACTCGAGGGATAGACGGAAGCAGCCATAGGGGTAGTGAGTTAGCTGCTAGGCCAGGCTAGGCTAGTCCGGACAGCACACTCCGAGACCAGACAAACAACCGATACCCAAACCTCAGCTACAATACAGCTGATTCAGAGTGCTTACAGTTAGCTTGTTGTAGACTAATACGTGGATTTATCAAAGGTTAATGCAAACGGAGAGCAGCGGGATGACAATCAAAACACGCTCACCTGACATACGGATTTAGACTTGCCACAATCCTTTTTAAAATGAATGAAACACAGTCTTGGATACAATCACAGATTTATTAAAAACAAACGTAAAGTGCAAAACCATCAGTTTCAAATTATGTATGAAAGTAAGCAAAGTAAGTCCAAAGTACGTATGTGTGAGGCCAGGAAAGGAGAATACTCCGGTCACTCATTGCTTGTTGGTAATCTCCACACATGGAAAGGGATTCTCATACAAATATACACACAACTTAAATACAAGCACAAAACAATGACAACATGTGAATACTGCAGATAATACGAGATAAAGCACAGTAGCACAGGAAGGACATTAGCTGCTATCGATAGCTAAATGAAGCTAAATGTAGCTAGCTCACAGTGTACAGCAGACAATCAAACATTTACACGAGTAAATACTTTTCAGTGAGGGCTTTGGGCCAACAGGAATCGTAGCTAACTAGTTATTTCCAGGATTACCACAGACTAGTCACAAATCCAGAGCTGGGTGATCTCCCTGAAAACCGTGTTGAGCCTCGAGCTGCCTTTGAATTCGTTCTTTGGCCTGAAGAGAGGAACGTGTGGACTTCTCCCACCGACCAGGACTTT